ACAGTGAGTTCATGCTGGCACGTGGGCTACCGGTTAATTCAGGTCCCCAGTGGGGGGAAGAGGCAAGAAGGCAGGAGCATGTCTGCGATCACCACCAGCTTGTCCAGGTCTCAGCTCTGCATCTGATCCGGCCTTGAGGCCACCGTGAGACTCCTCATGGCGCTTCCTCGCCTCTCGGCTTCCCAGGTATAAGGTATGGTTCTGATGGCTCTCAAACACTTGAAGAGGTTGGTAGGTATCCAAGTGTCAAGAAGGTTGTCTGCACTTGTTGCAAATGTTTCACAGATAAAGCAAGAGGCATTCCCTTTTATGTGACTTCATACAACCCAAAGTATTATATATGAGTGGGAAATAACAGCGAGGTTTATATGGTCAGATTTCCTTCTCCTAGCCTGCGCTAGGTAAATATACTCATTCTCCAGTGATGTCATTTTCAAATACTAATTTTTGTTGGAAAGGTACAGATATCCAAAAGAAATTCCCCTCCAAGGAAGAGCCTTTTTCAAAAGCAAATGAAGGACAGGTTTCCTGATTATTCTAAACAGTTGCAAAGTTTTAAGAATTCAATAAATTTAAATTAATTTTGAGATATTTCTTAATGAGGCAGGAGAAGTCACCTGTGAGTTTAATTTTTCTTGACTGAAGAATCCAGACCCTTTCTGTTCCCTCAGCTGTGCTAACTACTAGAAAAAGCAACCACTTTGACGTTACCTGCATCAGTTACAGCCAATCTGCCCAGGCTGTAAAGTCTTCATGGCTGAATATGGGCATAACCACGGGCTCCAGAAAGAGTCATTCCAGCTTGCATTGATGGGAACCTAAGATTTCTTAAAATCTACTAGGTGCAAACAAGAGTTACGTTTGGTAATGAAATCTAACCATCGTCAGAATTCAGCTCATCCAGCATGGAAATGTCCTTAATCCACAGACCACCAGATGGGCCCTACCCAAATCCAAGGGGAAAGCTGAAAACAAGCAAGACCCACAATATCGTACATGAGAGCATTTTTCGTCTCTTCTTTAAACTGAGACACTGCACAGCCAGGCATGCAAGACATAGGGCAGCCTGTGATTACAGCACGCGCTTGCGAGGCGGTAGGACTGGGATTTCATCCCTGCTTCCAAGGCTGCCTGAAAACAGCATGTGCGCTCCAGGGCACCCAGCCAGAACAGCAGCTCTGTCCCCTCTGAAAGCCTGACCCAGGAGGGCAGGGGAAGGCGTCCCCGTTGCTTACTGTCCTGCCGGCCCCATCAAAGTTTTCATGCCCACTGCAAAGCGAACTGGGAAGCTTGGAGAGTGTTTTCACTCAGCATACGCCATGGGCTGAGGACTAGGATGGCCTCCTAGGATGCAGATGTTGGCGCTGTGAGTCAGCCTGGCAAAGCAGGGTACAGCTGCCCATCCTCCGGCTATGTGGATAAGCAACTTCACCACCAAATTATCATGCAAAAAGTGGTCACTAGCACCATTTGCTGAGATTTCCTCTTGTCCTCCCAGAAATTGTAACAGAGAAGAGGGATGCTTCGGTAACTGGATTGCTTCAGGAAGCTGCTAGAAGGACTGCAAACTGTCGGCAGTGAAGGCAGTGCCTGTCACAGGAGGGACTGAATCTCTTTTTCATGCTGCTAGAGGCACCCGTGTCTCTCCATTGCTGGTGTAGAAAATACAGACAGTGAGAGTTTGCTTGCTTCCTGTTACGATGCCCAAAATTTTGCCCAAGGTAGACAGCCTGGGTTGACTCATGCCTTAAACAAGATTATTCTGAATTGAGCTTTGCTAAAAAGAAAACAAAAATCTGGAGAATAAATGATTCATAACTTAATTACTCCATGTGGTGTTTGGCAACCACTTGATTGCTCCTTAGAAATGAAAAAAAAAAAAATAGGCTAAGAACTCTGTAGAAGAAGCAGACGGCTCATACAAAGAGCATGAACTGGCTGGGAAAGTAAGTGTGCTGGTTAGCAAATAATCTCAGAATTCCAGAATTTATCTTCATTGTGCACTAGGGTGAAACCGAGATCTTTCGAAAGCATTGCAATCCCACCCCAAGTAACCAGCGGTCCTTTTCTGATGCTCACAGAATGCAAACTTAATTCCCAGAATTGGGAATAGCACACAGCCTGGGGACTGGGGAATGCTCCTGAAACGCCTGACATCCACATTTAAAAGATTTCTATCTGCTTATGAGTTGCTTAAGCATGGTAAGATCATTTTTAATTAATCCACATTTTAGAAGGCAGTTGTCTTGCAAAATACTGGCACTGAACACCTGCAACTGGGCCAGTTGCATGCTGCAGATCGGGGACCCAAGCCCAGTCTCCATCTCTCTCTCTGATGCTATGATGCTTTGTCATTTATGTGAAGAGAAGCCATCCAAGGAAAGCAGGAAAGACCAAAATAGGCACAGTGACCCTATAGCACGGGGCAGACGCTACCAAAGTGCTTGGAAGCATGTGAAGCAGAAGGGGCGTTTGAATGTGAGCGTGACCTCCTCAGGCAAGAACCCAACCCAGCAGGCTCTTCCTTACCCTTAAGCTGGTTATCTCTGGTTTCAAGCAAATTCCTCCCAATACAGCAAGCTTTTCTACTAATATTTTATCAAAATCTACCTGTAAACTTCTACAGAGAGTTACAAATGCTGATTAGTCAAAGAAATTTCTACAAAAAGATTCAGGAAAAAAACCCTTATAAAGCAGCACCCTCTGTAATTAGTATAGAGACAGATGTGAAGTTAAATATAGCTGAGCTGTGATGTACTCCTTTGCTTGCATAAATTAAAGTAGCTCTTTGCCCACTGTCGCTTCCACTACAAGTCAGTCTGGTGTGTGATAACATTCAGCATCAGGGAGGATTTAGAACAACTTCTGACTGCTTTTTCAAGTTTTGCATTGCTGCCTGTCTTGTGGCAGATCCATTTGGGGGTAACTCAGCCTCTGCTGTAGTTATAAACTTTACGTAATTTAGTATTTTCACAAAAAAATGTAACTGTACACTGCGTTTCTGAAGGTACATGAGAAGAATGTACCTCGAGAAGCAGCATGCACTGCAAGAACAGAAGAAACGCTGTTTGTGGGGAAGGGTGCCTCTGCTTCTCAGGACTAGCAAACCAGAACGGTCCATGACTTTATTACATGAAATTGTAATAATTACAGGTTGCCCACAAAAGTAATTATGAATTTGTTTTGGTCTTTACTGAACTGTTCTAGCCAGCTCTACCATAGCTCTTCAAACTGGTTGTTCCCGTAAATTGAAAAACGTCATCTAAATTCATTTCTCTGGCACTTCCCAGGTTTGCGGAATGCAGAAGCATTACTGGGCATAAGCAAGCTCTGGCCCTCAGCTTTTAGTATTCCGTTAAAGAAGCCCAAAATGGGTTTTAAGATGTATTCTTATTTAAGATATGTCAATTAGTGTATTTGCTGGCAAACAGAAAAGAAAAAAGATTATGTGATTCCTGCACTCCTCATAATAATTTTTTATCAATTTTAAGAGCCAACATATTGTTCCTTTAAAATATAGTAGGTTAAAAAATAAGATTGCCATTTCTTTTTTATTTTCTGATGAACACAGGAAAAGCAGCAGTCAATTTCTAGCTTTTTCTAGTCAAAGCCAAATGATTATTTTTGTGAACAGATTGTGGTTCAGATTTTGTTCAACTTCTTCAGCAGAGATAACTTTTACAAATTCTTGCTTGTTCAGAAAAGAGTATTCATCTGAACTTATTTATCATCCAAGGGGGTTTTGTTATTGTTATCTAGAAAGAAAGTTCTTGTTCAAGATTATTTCTTTTAAATCTGAGTTAGGCAAGGTTTTTATGTGAAGGTATAAACTCTTCAGGTGTTTTGTGGTAATATCAAGAGGTTAACAGGTGGTTTAGAAATATTTTTAAAAGGTTTATTTTGTGTTTAAAAGGTTTATTTTGTGTCATCAGTTGCATTTAATCCCTCTGAGCTGAAGTACCATGAACCAAGGTTTCTCTTACACGCTGTGTCAGTTTGCAGCTGAATCTTATAGCCCCGTCCCTGAGAATAAATGTTTAACCTCCTGGTGCAGTTGCAGATAAGCTGCTCACTCTTACAATTGCAAAGTATCGCTCTTTTGTTTTCTACCCAAAATAAAACTTATTATGTATTCATTTTTCATAGAATTATTCAGAAAAAAAAAAACAACACCAACCAGAAAACCAGCTTCTCTATGTGTTGTAATTGATTGGTAACTGAAGGTGATGGTAATGGTGGTGAGATATTAGCATCTCAAAGGCAGAAAGGGAGAAGTTTTTGTATTTCCACAGGCATGGTTATTGGATTTAATATGGTGCCTAATCAAATACGCAAGGATTTGATTACAACAGAGTATGTGAACAGCGGAGCCATTAAATAACTTCCATGAAAGCTTCAAAGCAGGACCGAAGATAGACACCGCTCATACTTCGCAATGCCACCGGAGGTTTTAAAACCAGAAGCTTTGTATTGTTTCAGGAGTCGCAGGTTGCTGAAGCAAAATGACACCTTGCCGCAAACCCGGGGGATTAGCAGCGAGCCCAACACGATGGCACAGGGGGTCGCGGGGCGCTCTGCAGCCCCTCAGCCGACATCCAAAAGTAAACCAGCCTGCAGCCTCGGACCTGGAGACAAAGGGGGACCCAGCGTGGAACAGAGCTGGAGCTAAACGGGAGCTGCTCTTACAGGAGCTAAAACCCACCACTGCTTTCGGGGGGGAGGTGGGAGCTGCTACTGAGCTACTGCTACAGGTGCCAGCAGGCAACAACACAACTCCCCCTCTGTAAGGATGGTACCTGAGCAAACCGGTGGCCAAACAGCCAGTGGGTGGAAAGATTTACAAACCTACAGAGTTACAATTATTTCGTATCAGCATGTCAAAATGCCAGGGGCAAATTAAGTCCCTATTTTGTTTACCAAGCATGAAAGAACCAAATGGTGACTGTCCCATTCTAAGTATGGCATGTGAGGTGCAGACTGGGAGCTTTCTAATTTCTAGTTTACAAGCACTGTCCGATGAAGCTGTTCTGGTACTGAGCTGTGACCGACATACCTTCATCTGACCTGGCTCCAGGTGAATTTGTGACACTTTGCTTAGTCCCTTTGTTTTCACCACTGTGGTAATAAAGAAGGGGGAGAAGTAAAATTAAAACCAGAACGCTTCCTGGACTAGTTTTCCAATATCCATTGTGGATGCCTTGAGATACGCTGGATTTCTATGTAACCACCTGTGAACTAGAGCATGGGTTTGGGTAGCTATTGAAAAAACTTCGTTGCTTAGTTTACATTTTGACATGCATGGATTTTTCTTTTAAAAAAAACACCAACAACAAAAAAGAAAAAAACCCAAAGGTAATTACTAATATCTCTGTGGGGTTTTTCCCCCTCTTTTTTTTTTTTTTTTTTTTTTGTTGGTGGGTGTTTGATCACCAGTAAAGCAGTAGCAAAGCAAAGCCAGTACCATTTCAACTTCAGAACGGACTTTGTGTCCGACTCCCTGAGAAGATCCTGCTGTTGCTGTATTTTATTTCTACAGCAATATACGGCAGCTTTGGTAGTTCTGGTAGCTTGTTCAGATGCATGGCACTTTCAGCATTGGCACATGCTAAGGTGACTGTAGCATCTGACAAGCACATTAGACATTGAGTCCCATCTGCGAAATCCTGGATGGGGATGGAGGGGTAGAGGGCAACAGATCCTCCTTTACTCTCTGCTCCGGAGTACCACAGGCAACAGGCTTGGCTCCCTTTTATTCCGTACTGAAGTAAAGCTGTTGTAATTGATGGGGGGTGGTCAGGATGGCAACACTCAACCTTGCAGCTTTGTTTTAGCAGATCCAGCCACACCAGTGCCCTTCTCCTCCCAGCATCTACGAGGGACCAGTAGAATGAGGCTGCCCAGTTGTCGTACAGGGTATGGATAACGTGACAGTGATGCTGACTGGTAAGCCAGAGCCAGAACATACAATCTTTCCTTTAGATGCAGATGACTCCATTTCTCCTATCAAAATTATTCACAATTAAAAAAAAAATAAAAAGTATGAATCTTGTCTGTGCTAAGGAGAGCTGTTAACAGCTTTAAGCTTTGGCTGCATATGAAATTACAGCTTCTGTCTCTCATGATTTCACCATCTTTGAATTGCCTCTGACCATTAACCAGAAACTCACTTAACCTGAGATTAATCTTGAAAGACAGGAAATGAAGGGTAATGCTCTGCAGGCCTTCCAAGACATGCATTAATCCCAGCCTTTGACACAAACATGGTTTTATATAGCGAAATAACAAATGAGCTATCTTTATCTCCCTGTGAAGTTCCACATCTGCAGTGTTTACCTCAAGAAATCTAGGAAGGAGAAACACTTATCCATGCCTATTGCTGTCTTTCTCTGCTTCACCTTGGAATAAAACTAGAACGCCTCATTTCCACCCCATTTCTAAACAGGGTCACTCCTGCATGCAAGTTCCTTAGGCAAACAACATTTTTCATCAGGAAGACACAGAAGAACCCAGATTATGCAGTGACTGCAGATCTTTTACAGGAGGAAAAGCAAAATGCCAATTACTATTTATAAACCTGCAAAAGGTCTACAGTCAAGCAACGTCAGAAATTCTCTCACCGTCTCTAACCATATAAAAGGAATAAATTAAATGCCACTGCCTGGGGAAGCCCGAGCCCTCATTTCTCCCAGCACTTAGAAAACAGTCTGGAAGGACAAGGTATACCAAAGAATTGCCAGGCATCTGGGCAACCAGAGCACAGAACCTCTGCGGTGTCTTCAGGCCTCCTGGAAATGTTTGATTTGAGACTGATGTTACACACTTGTCACAAGGTGGCCAGATTAGAGTCTCCTTTCATTTCCTCCTATATTTACATTCATATCCTTTTGCCATGATACAAAATACTTTTGTGACTGTTCCAGTATACCTGCAGTGCTTGAATAGTTTTGAGCTGTTTGAAAGGGTTGTAAAACGAAGATAGTTGGGCACCTTGCCAGGCTAGTTGCAGTACCTTGCTACCATCGCACTCGCTGAGGAGTAAGTTGGACTTCTGCTTCAATTTATTTCGTTCAAGCAGAGGCCCACAGAAACGGCACACCCACATCATTTCAGTGGGAGCTTTGGGACGTTTCACCTTTCGTTACACGTTGCAAAAGTTTACCTACGGCGGGCAAGGAGAGAAGAGGAACGAGCGATGCACTGCGTGCGGGTCACCTGTTTTGGGAGGAATTTAGACATGTTGAAGCCCGAAGGACCGTCTCTTGGCCTGGGGAGCCGGGCAGAGCGGGAGGGGAGGCGCCCACACGGACGGACA